TAAGTAAGTAAGTAAGTAAGTAAGTAAGTAAATAAGTAAGTAAGTAAGTAAGTAAATAGCCTATATATATTATCCACAGCTGTCAGAACGCACACACAAACCAGACAGAGAGTGAGATCTTTTCACTTCTCCTCCTGCCACAACTAATTTCATTATTCTATTAAATCAGGTTCATTAACTGTGGCAGAACACAGGAAACTCACTGCTGAGGTTTGATAAACACAGGAAGGTGCAGAAATGAAGCAATGTTTTATTTTCTGCTTCACTCTCTGTTTAGTTATTTTCAGTTTAAAGTAGCTTTTTTATAAACCAATCACTTCAAAACGTTTCACTTTTTCATGGATTTTTTTTGTGTGCTGGAGTCTGTATCATTGCAAAAAGTCTGTTGCTGACCATTTGAGGCCCTTTTACTTCCAAAAGTTCCAATTTTCACCTGCTTAAGCAGCTGTGATGGTGGAGTGGTTAAGGCATTGGATTCAAAATCTATTGGGGTTTCTCTGCGCAGGTTCAAACCCTGCTCACAGTGGCTTCACGTAAAAGGCTGAGAGTATAGAAGTGTTCCTGAAATGCTTCTTTGTTCCAGGGGAAAAGATTAGTGTCTCCCACAAAACAAAAGAGCAGATTTTGTTGTAGAATGTGATTTCTTGTGCAGGGAAGACTTCCTTCAATGATGGGTGCTACAGCTAGCTGCAGTTTCTGCAAATAACCACATATTCTGAAGAAACAGTGAAAGGCTGGTGTAAATCTTTATAAAATAGCTTCCCAAACTACAGTGGAAATTGTTAAATTGGAACTGATTTAATTTGGTCTTTAAATTTGCATGATTTATTCTTTTTGAAATCTATTGAACCATTTTGTAAAATTCACTAGGAATAAGAAAAGTTTATAATCACTGACATGGGACCGAGTGTTTGTGGTGCTGGTGATATTTAGTTTTTTTTAAACTTATCTGTTCTTCAGGTTGGAGCAACACGTTTTCAGCCCTCATCAGACCCATTAAACCCTGGGATTCTGCAGCATCGTCCCCTGAAGATGCAGATAATTCAAGCATGTTTGTCCACCCTTCTTTGAAATATAAAGTGCAAAGCAGTAAAAAAAAACTGTATTTCAAACAATGTCAATAAAACCGACTCGTATCTAAGGTTTCATGTAGAACAATAAAAATCATTAGATTCTTGTCAAAATGAAGCATCTCCAACCTCATAAATTACGACACACATCTAATAAATCTTTTTCTTACCTAAACTTCAAGAACACCTTATGATTTACCACTTCTTAAAAAGAATAATTTGGACCCTAATGTTCTGTCAAACTTTACCAGTTTCAAAGCTGCCTTTTCTTTCAAAAATTTTGGAGAAGGTGGTTTTTCTTCAGCTGCAGAACCACTTAGAGCTGCTATTCATGAGAAGTTTCAGTCTGGTTTTAGGTCACGCCATATGTGGCACCATGAAGGAGATGAATATTTGAAAAATGGTACCCCCCCCC